TTGGAATGTGCAATTGATGTTTAGTGAGGTTTCCACTTTAGGTGTTGAAGAGTTTGAGTTCGTTGGTTATTGTGAGTGCTTTTAGCTATGTGATTTTATTGTTGATTGCTGAATCGCTGAAATGTTAATTGATCAGTTAATAATTTGAAGTTATTCATTTATTTGTGTTGATTATAAGGAGTATAATATGGTATGCAAATGTTTCCAAGATGAATTGATACCAATTTTGTGACATATTTTGATGCTACAAGTGACTTCTGGCGCCTCCATACAGTGCTTCCATAAGATGTGACTTAGGGGCTTATTTTAGATCGTTTGAATCAAATAATTCCGAGAGAAATTGATTGCAGTTTACTCCGAATCAGTGCTTTCGAATATTTTTCGTCTTATGTTTTACATAAACATCAAAGCCGTACCAAAATAATTTAATGGAAGTCTGGATTGGAAATCTAGTTTAGTAATAAATCCACGAAACGTATGTGATTGTTTCGTTACGTTTGTATCTATGTACTTATATGTGAATACTAAAAGTGATTTGTTCTCGATGAAACGAAATATTTCGAGCTATTTTTCTCCACGAAAATAATCATCAAAAAATTTGTCTCAGTATGTAAAGAAATGGCTTCCAATAAAGCCATAAAATCCGCAAGCGAAAGGGCATTGCGTTACGTCGAGAAAACAACTCGTGTGAAACTGCAGGATCTGCGTGATAATCCCGGAGCAAGAACTAAGGTAATCATTGTTCAGTTGGATTCATTCTCTGAGATTTTCCTCAATCCAAACCTTCGGAATCTGCCTACAAGTATCCTCATTTTTTCGCAACCCTATGGTCGGCATAAGGTTTCATATCTACACATTGAAGCTAAGCACCTCAAAGTTGCTTTGGGAATTCAGAAACCTGTTCAGAGATCTGACTACAGCCTTGGAATATGGAAAGCTTTCTCAAATTATTAAATTTCAAGGCACGTCAAGTTCGAGCATGGATGAATCAACTGGGACATACCCGGGGTGAACTCCAACATGCGGCAAAACCTCCGCTTGGCTGGATTTGGGGTGATTTCTTTAGACCGTGGCAGCGGATGTTTCCGGGTGAGAAGCATTTCAACGGAGATATCAAGTAGGTTGACAACTGAATCTGATCGAAGACTGATTCATCAGAAGATGAGTTCATAATTCCAGTGGTATCCCTTCCCATAATTGAATACTCATTCTTTCACCTCATTGAAGTTTTGAATCAATTTTGAAATTTGGTCATTTGAATCAATTTTCATCATTTCGAGTTAATTTATGTAAATGATTAAATTTCCATCGATCGGATGTGTTGTTGTCAGAAATGTTTACAAACCATAATTCCTCCTAATGTGAAAGTTCAATATGCCCAAAACACTGCAGTCTTCGACGTGAATACCCACCAATTTCACTACTTGAACTACAGCGTTTAATTGATTTGGGATGGTTGGACACCAAACGCTTGATTGATATCACGGCTGTGTGCAATACGAAACAGTATCAATGCGAGCCTTCGCTTAGGCAATTCGGCATTCAGCTGACTGATCAGGTGAGATTTACCGATAGTGGAATAAATTCGGGCTTTGGGCTGGAGAAAAACCGTCTCATGATTGAGAATTTGGATTGAAGGGAGCCGAACGTTTTGCGAGTGTTGTTGATTTGGAAGTGCAGTGGGCGTCAGAGACTGCGATAGCGGCAGTTGAGAGGTGTGGAGGTCGGATACGTACGGCATACTATGATATTAACTCACTGGAGGCTGCTGTGAATCCGCAAAAATGGTTCCTTTCGGGTTGGTTCATATCTCTACGGATGTCTTTGTATGTTCCTTAGGTACTTATATACACATTTAGTTGTATGAATCCATTAAATGCCCGCTTATCAGAAGTTAGTATTTGCATATCGTATTTGGGTTTTCTATCCGCACTTGGTAACTCCTATCTGCTACAATAAGATTAATTGATTCGGTGGCTTAAACGAAAGAATTTTTGAAAGAGCAATTTTTTAACAAAGAGGGATATTTGTGTCCAGTATCGTTAAGAATGTAACTGAAATATATCCGAAGTTCCAGTGAAAATTATCATCAGTGAATCTCTATTCAGGAAAACCGATCCCACGTCGCTTGGCGCCACCGGAAAGTTTGCTAGATTACTACACAGACCCACGAAACCGAGGATATCTGGCCGATGAGATGGAAATCCGACAAGAGGAAATCAATTTAGGACAGTTAATGGGATATAATCGTGAAGAGGCTCAAGGTCATGAATGGGAACGGAAGAAACCAGATCAAGTGTTCGTTGGACTGGAGTCTGGCTCGTTGGTGAGCATGGCAGATCGAAAAGTATTCCTGCCAACGAATCCGGTTCTGAGACGATATTACGGCTTGGATAAAGAGAACGAAAAAGACATATTAGCTGATCATCAGTATGCATGAAGATACGCAAATAGAATTTAGATTTATTCATTCATTCATTCAGTCCGTTATTGAGTTCATTCAGATAATTATTATCAATGCGTTCATTACATGTGGTGAAAATATATTGATTATAACAAACGATTAAGAATCTATTCACAATGTCAAATTCAATACGTCTCTTTGGAAGAGTAAATTCACAACTCAAAAAACTGCAGCGATTTCTCAAAATCCAATACGCAAACAACGCAAAGCGAATGAATTGCTCGACATTCATAAAATTTACATTCTTTGGAATCAGGCAACAATATTAAACCNATATAAGATAATGAATACTGTCCATCACGAAACACCGTTAATAATGACAATAAGCAAATGCTGTGTATATTCTGTTAACAGATTACACGACAATATATTTTGTGAACACATTACATTGATAATAATTATAGCAATTGTACAACAATGAACCACAATAAGCTGCATTATTAACGAATAATGATTCCAAAGCTTAAATTTATCAAAGAACAATCAATCTCATAACAAACAGTACAATACAATGATTACAATAATACACAATAAGTACAAACGAAAACAACAATAATGACCATAAAATAACAATACTGACAATACAACTGTAATCACATCAAAAACCCAGTCAAATAGACCCTTAATACAAAAATCCGAATCAATAAAGACGAAATGAAACAAGAAATCAGTCATCACAGAGTTGATTAAGAGAACTGGCTCGAGCAATTTTGAATAATCCATCATTAACGAACTCTTTCAGCAATCGCCCATCACAATATTTTCGTGATTTTGCTAACGAAAATTTTTTGTAGCAAAATGAAACTCTCCTCGTTTGATCCACACCATTGTAAATGAAACGAACAAAGAATTTTGACTTGCCGTCAGCTGATTGGGTCACTGGCTGCTTCATATTTGAATACTTCTTTTCGTAAATCTGCAACAAACAACCAAACTACTGCTTGAACCATAGAAGAGATCTCTTCACTACAAAACTGAACTTCATTTCAGTACTTCTGTCAGAGAACAGGGCCTTTCTCCTCACACGATCTATGAAATCTTCACAGCTCAACTACTTGATCGCCAATGTAAATGGCCAGCCATTCTAGTCACCGATGTTTCACAAAATTCTCGATCCAACTTCACAAACTCGAAACAATAATCTTTGAAAAAATCTCCAAACTGATAACATGCCTCAGACTGGAGTTTATTCTGAAGCAAATAATCAACCTTCTGAAATATCTTATTCTAAAATTATACCATTTCAGATTTTCCTTCTGCTTCGATGCGGAAAACTTCTCCGAAAAAATGAATCGAGCAATTCAAAACGAAGCTAAATTCATCAAAATAACCTCAAAAACCAGTCGCGATGTGTACGGCGGAGGTTCACGATGTGCGATACCCAACGCGAAAAGCAACGGACGCAGTGTAACATCGTGTCCGGAGAAAACCCGCAATAAGTTCGTATCACTTTCATTCCTAAAAACACTCATCAACCCTAAAAACCAACGATAACAGAATGACATGCTGATAAAACTTAATGAATAATATAGAAAAATGATTAATATAATACACAAATGAATAATATACAATGAGTACAAACTGACAAAAAATGTTAATGAATGCATAAAAATCGTAGCGAAAAGAACTGGTAATATGACAATGAATAATAAACAAACAAAAATGTTAATGATTTCTTTACCTGCGCAATTGATCCACCATATTCGATACTGACTGCAGTATCGCAACCGATTCTGCAACTACCAATCGCCTCATTATTGAAACTGACGACGAATTCGACGAATCGTTGAACATCGCTCTGTCGCGGTCAGAAACTAGATTGGCTAACTGAAAACATTACTGATTACTGCTATTACCACTTACTGCTGATGCCAAACACTTAAAACTGTTATCGATATTACAACTAAAATAACTGGTTACTAGAATT